TTAGAAGGTAGTCTGCAGGAATCTGTTGGAATCCGGCTGTAAGTCCATCAAGGCCTGTTGCTGCATATCAGTCATGTTTGTGCAATATGCTGTTCTTGATCTGGTTAACTATGATTATTTTAAACCTTTTTACTCTTTCTCTTACCAGTGTCTCAAGGTGAGTTATTGAGACTGTAAGTGCCAGTTGATGAGAGAAAGAGGAGTGGTCTACTCAGGGGAGACTAGACGCTAATTCTGCTCTCTAGATCTATGCACTTCTGCTGCACAAGTAGGCAATTTTTCACTAAAATTCAAAACTCTGCAATAGAGTTGACTCATCAAATACTCATTGATTCAATGGCCCTGGTGTAGTGAGATTAACTACACTAAGGAGCAGGATTTTGGCCCATGCTTTCACACAGATGTTTAGTTGTTAGATGTTCCTGTGTTATAACGCTCAACCACAGCATCATTTACATGGCATTCAAATATCAACTGGATTAGCACTGCAGAGAGCTAGCCCCGGAATGTAGCCAGCTTTGCTTTATCATTTATGTGCATTTGTTTTTGTTTTTTTCATACAAAAAACTCAAGAACTTGCCCAACAGGTTGTTGTTGTGAAAATGTGCATGTACTCCTTAAAGGATGTTTCAACATAGGCACCCTTGATTGCTGGCAAAACAATTTTTTGCAGCACTTCTAGCCTATGATCTGGGCTTGTCACCCAATTAAGTCGAAGTCTGGGGAAGTTTCTGTTTCAGACTACAGCTCCCAGAATCCCCAAGGCCAGCTGGGGGATTTTAGCAGATGTACTCTGAAAAGCTAGTGTTACCAAGCTCAGGCAGAGATATGTCATTGTGAGAACTTCATGCATGCCTGCTGTGATCCTGCAAGAAATAACTCACATAACCCCATTGTCCCAGGGAAATGTGGGTATGATTTTCCCAGGGACACCCGTTTTCTTAGCCATGGATGACACTGTATTTTTGCAGCTTCTGGGGGGATCTCAAGGGCAGAAAATTGTCCCCCCCCCGACGTGCCAATTTGACACCTCACTTCCTGCTTTGTTGGCATCCTTAGGCCAGACACTGCTTTCCAACAGACAGGTCCAAGAAAAATGGACATTTCTTCCCATGCATCCTCATCAAACCTTTGGAAGAATTTAATTACAAGGAACATGCAAGTGTATGTTTCCAGTAGTATAAAAAATAGTTTATTGACATAAATAACATTCATGTATAAAATAATCAGAACAAAGAGGCAACATCTCATGAAACTTCAGGAAGGCATCAAACTTGGGTGGACAAGAAGTATGTCAGGAGATCTTAGCGCGTTTTTCTTGAAATGTCGCATCTCGAGCAGAATGGTCGGGATTTCTTTAAAAAGTCCTTCATAGTAGTTTATAGGAATAAATAATAAGAGAGGATGTTTCTGTTCTGGATATCTGTTCAGCAGGGTGAAACAAGGATCTCATGGGAGTATCCAGATGGAAAGGTATCCAGCACCTTTCCCTCAATTCCCTTATAATAATTATTGCAATAGTAATTCTGTGCATAAAATCAATAACAATTTATTAGCCTCGATTTATCATTCTTGAGCTGACATGAAATTCCAGGAACTTGGAGTCTCGTCCTTTGCATGTCACTCTATCTACTCAATTTCCTTCACTGCCTGATCCTAAGGGTATTTATTCAGAAATAAGTTTCATTATGTCCAATAGATTTACTGCCTAAGAAACACTCACAGGATGACAGCCTGAATAAATAAGTCACTGGCCACTCTCAAAATGGACGGGGATAAGTGCCCTTTTTTGGACTACACTCTCCAGCATCCTCCAGGCAGCAAGGACATGGGAGATGTAGTCCAAAAATGTATTTTTTTCCAAGCTCTTTTTGTAGCTTGTACCTGCTCAGAACTTGGAGCGTTCAAACTGAAAAACTAGGTTTGTCACCCTGGTGTTGTCCAAAATGGCTGCAATTCCTCAGCAATGTGAGAAATGCACTTTACATATACTCAGAGGCTGTCTTCTACTTCACCCCTCATGTCTTCACAGTGGCCATTTAATACTGACAAAGAGATGGGGAAGGAGATTCCAACTTAAGCCCAGAGAGGTCCCAATCCAGGTTAAGCCCTAATTTGGACACTGATGGTCATGAGCTTCCTGAGGAGAGAAGAAAGGCAACTGAAAGCAGCATTGCAGTTGAAAGCAAAGTACGCTGGGCTTCGACTTGGTGGCTGGCTCGACTCCTCGGGGACGGCTTCAGTGTCCCATCCACGATCTGGTTGTTGCAGAGGTCACCAGTACAGCAGCGGCTGTGAACGGCACCCACATTCTTGTACACCGAGGTGTAGGGACTGTCACACCAGGCAGGCGTTGCACAACCCTTCAGAACGTAGCTCTGTCCGGAAGCACCTGAGCGAGGAAATGACAGTGATAGAGCCTGAAAAGAAGCTTTTAGAGCTGAGGTGCCCATCTTTGGGTCCCCAGATGTTCCTGGACTACAACTCTCCATAATCCTGGTTACAGATGGGCACGGATCTCGGTTTGGAGGTTCATGACAGTTAGTAAGTGCGGCACCTCAGGTACTACACGTTCCCTCACCTCCTCGGCCACTGACTGACTCACTAGTCGGAGTGCCCTCCAATCTCTCCTCTTCATCTTTAGCTGTTCAACCGTCCCTGGCAGGAGCACAAGGTTGCCTGTCCTGCCTTCTTGTCTGAGTGGGCGATCAGCTGAGGAGGCAGGGCAGGGAAGCCTGTGCTCCTGCCAGAGACTGGTTGAACAGCCAAAGAGGAGGAGGAGAGGAGCATGCACCAGCTGGTGAGTGGGGGATCCAGCCAAGGAGGTGGGGAAGGGGACCACGTGACGGCTGTGGTGCAGGGCGTACGAACCAGCACGGACCTCTGAACTGAGGTTCGTGCCCATCTCTAATCCAGGTTATCAAAGCCACTGCTCTGTCTTTCTGCCACCATCCCACGTGGTCTGCAAGTTAGCATCAGAAGAAGAGAACCTCTGTTTCCCCATAACTGGTGCTGAAATGCTGTAGGCTGACAAAGGAGTCAAGGATAGCACCATCATTCTCCCATCAATTCTTTTGGCCAAAGGCTTTTCCAATATCACAAACGTACTACCTGGCATTGTCATCGTAGTTTCTCCTTCTGCACCATCAACAGGCAAAAGCAGGCTGCTGGTCTCTTCAATTCAATAGATGGCTAAAGTTTTGAGCAGGCTAGAAACTTTAGTAGGCTTATCACCAAGGGTGGACTAAATCTCCCCCATCCACCACTCCCATTCTGCAAGGTAAAACTGGGCCCCGTGGACAGGCCCTGTGAATTTACTTGTGTACTGAACTGTTGGAAGAAGTTGGAAAGATGCAGTAGGAGATGCTCACCATGAATCCCTGAGGCTTCCAGGCACTGGTCCATGGGCCCCTGGCAATGGATTCTGGAGACTTCATTTGGGGAGCAACCATGTGTGGCATTCCCCTCACAACTATAGCATGTAATCCCATTCAGAGGTAGGGGGTTACTCTTGTAATCTGTAGGGAAAAGAATCAGACCCTGTCAATGCAACCCCAAAACAACCTCAGGTCGTTCCAGCTCTATCATGTCTTTGTGCCTCCGTGCTTGAGTTCAGATTTTTTAAAAACCATTATACGAATGGTGGGATGCTGTAATAAATCTTTTCCTAGTGCAGTGATTCCCAATCTTGTGTCAACAGATGTTCTTGGACTACAATTCCCGGAAGCCCTCATCATTTGCTCTGCTGGCCAGGGTTTCTGGGAGTTGCAGTCCAAGAACATATGGGTTCACCAAGACTGGGAATAATTGCACTAGGGTATCTGGGGGTGTAAAACATAGCAACAACTGGCCAGTGACAGGCAGGAGGAGGAACACTAAGGAACCTTGTGGATTTCCCTCTGTCCCCCAGACTGAGAGGTTTCAGCTTTCCTTTTATTTTTTTTCCACTTCTTCTCCCATTTCATGTTTAGACAGATGAATCTAGGATTTGTGTGTGTGTGTTTGTTTCAGACTTTAATCTGTCCACTTAAGAAGACAGGGTGGTTAGCAGAGTTACTGGTGCGTAACTCTTAGCATTCAATTATTAAGTTGCAAAAGACAGGAAAGCTGCACCTCTTGAATGGAAATATACAATACCATTTGCTAAAGGGACAAAATCTCTCCCTCCCCACCTCATCCCCTTGACACTCAATGTACACATGGCAGCAAAATGACTGGATCTGAAGCCAGGCCATGGCAAGCGCAGGGAGATTTTCCATGCTTGGTGTAACTTCTAGGATCTTATACAGTGGTGCCTCACTAGACAATGATAATCTGTTCCACTGAAATCGCTGTTTAGCGAAATCATTGTCTAGCAAAAAGCATTTCCCCATTGGAATACATTGAAACCTGTTTAATGCGTTCCAATGGGGAAGAATCGTCATTGTCTAGCAAAGATCGGCCATAGGAGAGCCGCTTTGCGAACCGCCGATCAGCTGTTTAAAACACTGTCTTGCAAAGCTTAGGTCCCCAAAACACCTGTTTTGCGAGCGCAGAGGGAGCTGTCAAAATCGTCTAGCGAAAATCGGTTTGCGAAGCAGGGACCAAACATTGTCCAGCGAAATTCCCCCATAGGAATCACTGTTTTGTAAATCGCTATAGCGATCGCAAGAAGCCAATGTCTAGCGAAAAAACTGGCATGCGGGGTAACTGTCTAGCGAGGCACCACTGTAGTATCTTAGAGGAAGGAATGGCAAACTGGCTCTTTGACTGACATTAATGACTGGAAAAGATACTATTGGGGTGTATGTATGCAGAGAAGGTATAACTTCCAGAACCCCACAGATAGAATGGGATTCTAAAGTCCCAGGATGCTGAGAGATGTGTTTTTCCAGTAATTAACTTTCCAGTCTCTGGATGAGCCGTGATCAGTTTAGGGACTGAGGAGAGACAGAAACCTTTAAGTTGCTGGCTATGCTTGTGTCCCATGAGGACCCAAGCAATCACTCCATGACCTTACCTTGCGTGTCATCATTGCACCTGTTGAGGCTGCAGCACTTGATCAGGTAGAAACTGTTCAGGTTGTGGAAGCCCAGAGGCTCCTCGCAGTGGGACAGTTGACCACAGCCCTTGATGCGCTGTTCGTCGGCAGGGAACTCTGTCGACACAGAGAATACAGGGACTGTAAGCACAACCTTTTGCCTCTAGGGGGCACCAGTTAGAAGAATGAAGCACGAAGCAAAACGACCACGTATCAAGCAGTGTTGTGGTTCGTTCTGGGGCAGTTCAGACAAATGCACTTCCCCGTAATGAAATGAAATGCTGAATTATTATTGGCATGGGTGACTCGTATGCTTCAAGGTTTGTGTGATTCAGGAATTCCAGGAGCTTTTGCCAAACTTGCAGGGAATCTTCAGCTGACTCTCCTCCCCACCCTGTCCAAGTTTGGCAAAGACTGGACTTCGGATGTCCAAGTTATAGAGCCCCCGCCCAGCACCCCACCTAGGAAAGTGTTTTTTTTTAGCCAACTGCTAAAGAGCATCACTAAGTCATACAGGGACCATTCTGCCACTCCTGAATGTCTGAAATTGAACAAGTGATGAAATTGTTCATTTCATCAGAAACTTCATGCAAATTTGTGGTTCGTGAATTGTGACGAATCACAAACCACAAATCACTGTTTTCTCAGTTCGTGCCCATCTCTACTAACTACACTGACAAGCCAAATTGCTCTAATTCAGCTTTGCTGAAATTCAATTTGGAGCCTGTATTACAGCTAAGCTCACCATTAGCGATCGCATGGGCCTAAGGATTGAGTCAGAGGTTTACTGTTCATACTCGATGTGATGTGATTCATATTTCAGACCAAATACCCCCTTTTTGGAGGAGGGTGAAGGATGGAGAAGATCAATAACCTTGGAAACTGATTGAGATGCAGAGTAACATCATTGTTTAGAGCTACTGCTTCCAAAGTGATAATATCCAATCTTTGGTGGGACAGGAACAACAAGAAAGTGTACTTTTCAGAACAGGTCCTGTTTTATTTGTTTTCAGAAGCTAAGCAGGGTCATGCCTGTTTAAAAGTTGGATGGGAGGCCATCAGGGAATGTGAGGGATTTGCACATTGGAGAGACTCCTGCCTTGATATGAAGAGAAGGATGGCATTATAGAGCTGTTGACGCAAGAGGCTAAATACATGAACCACAGCTCTGAAAATGCACATAGCCATTTCCTGCTTGGTACTAAGGAAGTTATCTATTTCAGAGCTTCCTTCCCACTTGATGTAACTGTTGGATGAAGACAGCCACTCTTCTTGGGGAGTGATGAAGAACCAACCACGACCACCCAAGATTCTACATGTTTACCTTCTAGCATGGTAAAGGATGTGATGTCCACACATCTTTCCTCCGGCCGAGAGCAGCGCATCGGCATAAGGCTAGTGGTGTTGAAGCAAGTCTTATCGGATGAGGAGCAGGAATAGCAGTCCAGGGTGGGTCTATGAAGGCCCCGAGCCGTGAGAATATCCACTACTGCAAGGGGGAAAAACATTGAGAGGAAGGAATTACGGCAGTTAAGAACAGGTTCACTGATTGCACGAGTTCCAATTAGATGAATGCATGTTGCACAAATGAAGAGTTTTAGATGGCACTTGCATGTATCATTGCAAGAAGCATGACCTTGGAAGAGGTATTCCTCCCACCTTGGCTGTCACTCATGTGGGAGTGCATCTTCTAAAAGGGCTTCGGAGAAGTGCTTTGTGTGTCACAGCATCAGCCACCACATTGCAAAAGGCATGCCCTTCTCCATTTCCCTTCATACCCACTCATTTGGGAATGCATCGTCTAAAAGTGGTTTGGAGAAAGCACACTGTGTGTCACCGTATCACAAGAGGTATCGCCCCACGGCTACCTTCTGCTCATACACAAGTGGGAAAGCATCTTCTAAAGCTGCTTGGGCAAAAGGCATGCCATGTACCATGACATCCATCCCCACAGTGAAAGGGGAATTCCCACTCACAGGTTACGTGGCTATTATAAAAGGGGATCACGGCTTGGAAAAAAAAAGGGTCGGGAACCCCGTGTTGTAGACTAACCATTTGGCGCCCCCATGTTGCAGAGTTCGTTACTGCAGTGCTCCTCTGCCAGAAACACAACTTGAGTGCCGGAGAGATGCATGATGGAATTGTTGGGCTTCCCACTCACATCGCAGCCCTTCAGGTAGAAAGTGGAGATCTTAGGACCTGCAGGAGGAGAGAGAGGAAATCCCACTGAATCCGGGGGCAACGTTCTTAAGAACGGTCACAACAGTGTCAATGCTTGTCTTATGCTCCTATACAAGGGCAGGTTGATTCAACAAACTCACGGGCTAATACAGTCATGACGGTGGTGCTGCATTGTTCTTGATGCTCCTCACAGACCTCGGTTTCTTGACAATCCCGGTCACCATCGCAAGAGTAACACTCGAGGCTGGCGACTGTGGGAGGAAACCAGACAAGGAAAATGTTAGAAAAGGCAGTTGGCAAAATCTTGGGTGGGGTGCGTAGGGGACATTTCATAGCATCCTCTATTTCAGGGGGTGTGAATTGTGCCACAGATGGGCCACCCTCCAAGTGGAAATGTTCTGTCAAGATTTGGTGACATGGCAAGATGGAGTTTTCTCCATCCTTCTCTTCCCATCTACCAAAGGAGATTTCCTATTCTATTATTTTGCCAGACTCTGTGGGTTTAGAGGACGCTCTGGCACCATCCTGAACCACAGAGGTGACACAGCTTTTGCAACTGAATTTCATTAGTACAATGACAGGAAGTATCAGCATTGTGGCCCTTTGTCAGTTGGCAGAGGGTATCTGTTAGAGTTCCACCAATCCACAGAAATTGCTCATTTTGGCTCTAAAGAGACCTTTTCTAATCTTGCTGTGAAATCCTTTAATCCATAGGCAGGTGATGGTCTGATCAGGTGGGTTGCCTCACGCCAGAATGGGAGGACGAGGCATTTCTCTCCTCAAGTTACCAGCCACCCCTTCTTTAACAAAAGTTGGCTATGACTGAATCTTTTCGCTGATGCTGGTAAAGACAATGTTGTTCTACATTATTATATACCCCCTTCTCCTCCAGTGAGCTGGTGACTGTGCTTATAATTATCTGGACTGTTCCAGAAGCACTCCTAACTGGAAACGTGTCCAGGAGCACCTTGTACATCTCTGAGAACAGAGCATTTAAAATTTGTCAAGGTCTCCCATTTGGCAGGAGCCCTGCTCTGCAGTGTACTTAACATAAATGATTAATGTATCGCTGGGAACGAGGATGAAAATTAAAACAAGCGGTCCTCAACTTCTCTGTCTCAGAGAAACTCATGCACGTACATAAACACACCATTTTGAAAGAAGAATTTTGAAACACTGCACAGCTCCTTGAATTGTGGGGGAAACATGAGGCTGGATTGTGAGAGCCGTAATACCAAAAATCCATCCATCCATCCATCCATCCATCCATCCATCCATCCATCCATCCATCCATCCATCCATCCATCCATCCATCCATCCATCCATCCATCCATC